CCCATCTCAACCATAATTAGATATTAATTAAACTTCTTGTCCAATATTGCAGATGATGAATCAATATTATGAGAAATACCAGTAAAAGGTTCAGAGTTTTGTCTTTGACAGCTCAGTCAAATACATGCTGACGGTGCCTCAACTAGAATTTTTATTTTTTATTATCTTGGAAAGTGATATATGAAGATCAAAGTTCACAAATATCTTTATACATATCCATATTGTATGCTATGAACATTTCAGGCAAAGCAGAGATAGTGAAGAAGGAATTATTCGATTACAGATGGAATGACCCAAACAAATCCTGCAACCAGCTACTTGTAGGATATGAAAAAACACTTAAGCTGCACAGATCAATACTTGTATTAGCAGCGTATCAAACGGCTACATGTAAAGGTGAAGTACTTGTAGTGATCAAGCCACTGAAACGTATCACCTGTCTGCAGCTTCTCTCATTTATGTGTCGTGCTTTGAAGCAACAGTTCATTTCAAATCTTGCGTCATTCCTTTTATGGTTTATTCTCATCGGTCTCTTTATCAGCTATTTTTGAAAACACTCCAGTAGAAAGACTTGAGCTTTCAGCCACATATCTTCCCAGCAGTTGGAGAAAAAAACATACCAGAGCTTCCTTGTTATTAGATTCCTTATCTTGTTTCACCAAATCCTGAATGAGCAGTTTTGCCCCAAACACCTTCACGTTGTCTTATCACAGGATCGCAGGCTCACAGAAAGAGCTGCCAGCCGCATTAGCTGAACCCGTCCGTCCCTGCCGAGCAAAACTTTATTGGTGACTATTTGACCACACTGTCAACAAAGTTAACGGGCTGACTTCAATTTTAAAAATAGACAAAATTTGATCGTAAAGTGTAAAGGAGTGCCTCCGTCAAGCAGCATTCCTCCAAGCTATGGATGCCAGTAGCTGATTCTCAGGAATAAAGAGCTGTAATGTCAGTTGGGGTGTTTGGCTTTGCTGCAACTTGTGATTTACTATCATTACATTCTTCGAGATCAAAGCAGCAACAACTCGCAAAAAAAAAAAAAAAAAAGCCGTGTCTAGCCTCTTGTCATGCAACAAAAACGACCTAAATTCTTTTAGGTTTGAGGTGGAAAATGATGTAATATTTCATTAAAATGGGAAAAACCGAACTTTCTGTTTGATATGTTTGTCTGCAGTTAATGAGCACAAGACGCTGATGATGTCGTTAATATGTCCGTCAAGACTGCAGATCAACAACAACTCAGTGTGACAGTGTTTTGTGAGCGGTAAGGAAAGAGCGAGAAGTCTTCTGTGATGCATCACAGCCTCTCTCATCATTACGGAGGTAAAGTGTGAGTCGTCTGCAGGCTTTGTGTGCTCGCAGATCACCACAACCTCCAATAACACTCTGTAGAATAAATCTGTTTGATACAAAGTTTGCGTTTTGTCGCCTCAATTGTTGATGCCGTGGAGCACTTTAAATGTAGCTGTCATGTGTTTTCTCTTACAACAGTTACCACAGACAGACAGAACATTTCCGAAAGAAAACTATTTGAATACAAAATCGAAATCTCTATCTGATCTGTCTGTACCTGCCCACGCTGCCCAAGAACTCATGGGCGGCTAAGAAAAAAAAACAACAAAAACCCATTTTTTTCAGTATCATTTCACAGGAAAATTTAAAGGAACGTCTCTGTCAAGCAGCATTCCTCCAAACTACGGATAACAATGAGGGTTTCTCAGGAAGCTGAAGTGTAAGTCGGGGTGTCTGATATTGATGTGAGGTGAGTCTCATTTGCATTTTGCGGTCTCAAATCCCCAAAGGAAACCAGCTCAATACTAAAAGCTAGCACCACCATAACTATTAAATGTTTTTTGGATTTCAAAATATACATATTGTAACATGTTTTTCATGTATTTATTTTTACTACATTACTGCTCATTTTTTAGTACATTTTTAGTACTTCTGTAGCTTCAATTAAAGTCGGATTTTGACTGCTAAATTTGACTTGTAATGGAATAAGTTATCATTTTCGTAACATATTTTCCTGAAGCAGCAGAATACTTCCTATGCGTGCCGGCGTCAACAATAAAACTTAACAGATGAGCAGGAAAATGAGAAATGCCCTCACATAAAGCAATGCAACTATCTGTATTTCAAATCAAGATGAACAGGTTTCTCTTCTAGCCCTGCTCTTTGCAAACACCTCTTCTTAAAGTTAAAACAAAAAAAAAAAGACGGGGTGTCATTTTTGTTACATTTAAAGAAGTGTTTAAAAGAGTATTTAAGTAGAAGATTGTTTGCTTCCTAAATCAAGTCTACATAAAAGACAGCATTAGCCAAGATGTGTATATTCTTGTATCTATTTATCTTACCTTTTGTTATTATTTTTTTTCTTTCTATAGTTATTTTACTTTATTGTTATTCTTTTCCTTCATAATTCCGAGGGCGACACCAACAGCCAGAACCAAATTCCATGTATGTTGTGTACAAACTTGGCCTTTAAAGCTGATTCTGATTCTGCATTTCGAAGCACAGGGTACTTATTGTGCATCTTTCAAACTTCCAGAACTCAAAATCAAACAATAAAATATATCCTGCTATTCCCAGAGCAGGATGTTCTTAATTGGACCATTCTGTTCCTGCATATTTCCTAAAATGATTCCCCTGCAGGAGCCCCGTCAAGGTAAACACAGGCTGTGAAAACGTGAACAAAAATGGATGAATCAGATATTGACTAACAATGAGACAATAAGAAACAGTCACAGTGTTTCATTCTGTGTGTGTGTGTTTAACGTTTGTGTGTCTCTCTCACCTCCGTACCGCACACAACACATCTAATTGGTTTGTCGTCCAGTCAGATCAGAAGCATGCTCGGTAATGTATTCAATCTTGGGCGATGGCTCTCAGAGCTGATTTCACATGAACAATGATGATGAAAAAAATGTAAACGTCCCCGTTTTACAGTAATTGGTCTGGGAGCCATTGTCTGTGCTGTGCGTTTTTTGTGATGTAAATGCTTTAAATTCGGGGGTTTGCCTCTAAAGTTGGGGCAGGGGAAGACTGCCGCAGATACTTCCATGTCATTATCCCCCCATAGTTTTACCTTTGCAATGGAAATCAGCGCATTCTACTTACAGCATGGAAGACAAGTCTGCGTGAAAATCCGAGCACCGGGGGAATGACCTTCTTCTGATCTTCTGTGCGCCTCTAATACACGCCTTCCAATGAAGTTATGATAATGGGGCTTGGTTACACGCCTGTAATTGGCTATTCATTGGGATAATCTGACATCAAGTCTCGTCATGTCTAAACCGTGTCCAGCCAGAGAGAAAGACAAGGGAAATAAAAACTTTGTCAGAACTTTTCATATATGTATATATGAGTTTTACCTTCTTCTGAACTGTCCTGTATTGCTTTCAATGTTATTCTTACCCTTATTGGTTTTTATAGACCAATGCTGTGTTTTTTTTTAAATTTTATTAATAATTGTACAACTATTTTATTTTTGCTATTTTGCGGCCTTGTGACACACTTTATGATTTGGAATTTAAAATTTTAAGAGAGAGTGAGCATAAACATTTTTTTTTTAAATTAGGTGTGAATAAAAATGCATTTCTTCAGAACATGCTGACATCTTAAAATGTTAAATTAGGATTTTGAAGAAGCAACATTTGTTTAACATTAAATATTTAATTACTGATAATAAATTCCTTACATGATAACTTAAACTAAGCTGTAGTTAGCAAATTGCATCTCTTTTTGAGGGGTTCCATTTTCTAGAAAAACTAAATTTGAACTTATTATAATTATTTACAAGGGTCATTACTGTTGTTTGCATGTTGCAGGAATTAGATTTCAAAGCCTTTGCAGAGAAATTAATTAAAGGAAGGCCTGCATGCTGACATGATGATCAAGACCATGCTCTGCAGAATTATTTTTTAACATCAGTAACTTTGCCAGTTAGGCCTGTTGCCAGGCATGAAGCCTTGCACAAACGACCACCGGAGCAGAGGAGTCTTCCCCTTGCCACAGATCAAGCCACCGGGCCTTGAACCTGACCCCTCCGGACCATCTAGGGCGAGCTTGTCACATTGCATTCCCGCTGGCGCATTGTTTGCCGCGGGAGTCGCTCACTGTTTTTTTTTTTCTGTAGGGTTGGAGGTGGTGGTGGTGGTGGTGGAGGGGGGAGTAGATAGATAGATAGTGTGGCCGTCCATCCAATAAACCTCCTCTCTCTCCCCTCCCCGATCCCCGCGGTGCTCCCGGTTTTGACACGGGAGACAAAACCCGCGGGGAGGACTATGAATGGTAAAGCACCGAGGAGGCCGAGGGAGAGCAAAAAGGAGGCGGTGAGCCTTTGTAGTCGGGGAGGAATGCGGAAATGTCCCCGCTCCGTGTCAAACCTCTCTGAAGGGGGTCAGGCCACATTCAGCCGGCGTGGGAAAGCCAGGCAGAGACGGAGCTCACACACAGGCGAGCGGGGCTTGCAGTTTGCATGGGCCTATCCGCGGATGTATGGAGGAAAGAAAGAAAGAGAGAAAGAAAGGAGAAAAAAAAAACGAAGAAAGAAAGAAAATCCAAAAGAAGAGCGTGGTTTCTTTTTTTTTTTTTTTTTTTTTTGGAGGGCTATATCACGCGTTTGCCTTTGTCCTATGACCCCCCTCCCCTCCCCAAATCCTCCTCCTCCCTCCTCCTCCTCCTCCACCAACACACACACCCCCAACAAGCTGCAGTGAGAGTTCGTACAGCCCTCCACCACCACCTCCTCCTCCTCCTCCTCCCCTTGTTGGAGTGTCTCTGCCCGGGCTGGTGCAGTCTGAGGGATGGGGGGTTAGAGCCTGCACCGTCAACTACCTGTGTGGCCCCCGCATGGAGGACAGCGGACAGGGATGCGTTTGATGGAGGACCTTTTTTTTCTTACCCGAGACGCCTCCTCAGCGTTTTTATCGGGCCGACATTTTATTGACAACATAAAAGGTAATAATAATAAAAAATAATAATAATAAATTAATAAATACAGATATTTGTGCAGGAAAAAAAATGTATTTATGAAGGCTAGAAATGTTGCTGTGCAGTCAAATAACACACCACGAGTAATTCTTTTAAAATTTTAAGGCTTTTTTTTTTTTTTTTTAATTTCGCCTATATTGTAGTGCACGCGCTATTAAATTAGAAAAAAATTCAGGCACGCGGCGAAAGCTAATGGAAACACGTTTAAAACTCAGCCGACGTGTCGTTTTACGCATTTAAAGCGGTTTGTGTGCCCCAAAAGCGAGTTTTACGGAGTTTTAAATGGACTGTTGCTGTAGGAAGTTCAGACAATGCAGCCACGTGCTCGCCAAAGTTTGTGTCTCCTCAAACAGAAACTCTGATAAAAACAAAGTTAGCTTCGCTAGCATGCAACGGCGCACCGGGTAAGCATCGTTAAACCCTTATTTTATTTTTTATTTCTGATAATTTGCTTATTTTAACACATTCACGCAGCTCACATGAACATTACTTCAACAACCGCTGCATGTGTGGTGAATTCACGAGTGCGCCTGGTGATGTTTTTTTTTTTTTTTTTTTAAACACGAAGCTAGCTTGAAAACATAGCAAAACAAGCTAACAGTTATTTTTTTTTATTATTTCACATTACTTTGTGTTCAGAGGTAGGAGGACATGAGCTGCAATGCGTAATAGTAGGAGGAGTGGAAGTAGTTGGGACGCAACGGTGCTGTTTTTTTTTGTTTTTTTTTTGATAGTCGGAATAAAACATGATGACAGTCCTGTTATTGCCTACCTGGAGCACTCTTTGACCATATCTGACAAAGATGGTGTCTTCCTCCATCTGTGTCTCCCTGTCATCTAGGCATTGCATGTGCCAACTTTTTGCTGTGAATATGCCTTTGTGAGAAACTCTGGCTCGTCACCCTCGCCGGGATTCCCCGCAATATTTTCAACAAGAGAGGAGAAACAAAACACACACACTCACAAAAAAAAAAAAAAAATCTGCAAAAATGGACAAAGAAACTATTGGTACCCAATATGAGCCTGTGGCCGAGATTGGAGAAGGAGCTTACGGGAAAGTGTACAAGGCGAGAGATTTGAAGAACGGGGGACGCTTTGTAGCCCTAAAAAGAGTTCGTGTCCAGACGGAGGAAGAGGGGATGCCTCTCTCCACCATCCGGGAGGTGGCGGTACTGAGGCAGCTTGAAGCCTTCGAGCACCCCAATGTTGTCAGGTAAGTGGAGGGGCAAGAGGTTGGTAACCACTTTGTGTGTGAGAGAATGACACTTTAACCTCCTGTTTGATCCGATGACACCCATAGAGGTCACGTCACACTGTTTTGTTGCCAGAAATCTTCAGTACTTTCCTGCTGGCAATATGAAAGATTGCACAACAAAGGACCAGTTGTGGTCACTATCACCTGTCACACAATTTCCTTCACACATTTTCACATTCAGTTCTCGCCTCTGATCATCATTATTGGTCGGCTCCAATCACTTTGATCGCATATCTTTTCGGAGCTCTGCCAACGAGATAAGGCGCAACATCCTTCAGAAGTGATGACTTAAGAAGTGCTGGCTTGCCCCAAGAAAAAGAAGCTGTGTCATATACTTAGGTTTCAGGTTAGTCGGTAGTCAGTAGATGTAACCAACACACATCCCTGCAACATTTAATGAAAAACCCACTTAAACAGGATAAATCTTCTTTGTGTTGTTGCTTTTTAAAAAAAAGTATTAGCGCATTTCTTTACAAAATAGACATAATAAAGAGGCTTGCAGGCAAATCATATTTTAAACCTTATTTCAGCACAGACATGAATTAGCAAAAACATCTATACAAAATTAAATTAATTCAATGCAATAAACTGACAAAGAAATATAAAATAATTACATCTGCGCGCCACATCCACCCCAAACCTGTATTTACAATAAACATGTGGCCTTCACCTCTCTGCATGATCTTTGTTACAGTATTTTAAATTAGATTGTGCAGCTTATGATCTTAAAGTGTCTGTTAATAAAGATGTTGGAAGACGTTTGAAATTCTCAAACTTTTAATATGATTTTTCTACTTTAAAAAAAAAAAAAACGCTTCTAGATAAATACAAACAGCATTCTGCACAGTGAAAGAAGTGACATTGACCAGAATGCATCTTTAAATATTCCAAACTCAAGGTTCACTTACTCGACCTTGCAGACCTCCTTCCTGCTCAGGTATCATCGCTTGACGTAAGAAAAGCTCGTCTAAAAGTCATCAAATTGCTTGTTTCGCTTGGCATGCAATTTCCAGTTTAATTTAACAGAAGCGTGACAAAGAAAGGAAAATATTCACATTTTAAAAACTGCAAATTGTGACCTTTTTGCCATTTTTGCTTGTTTCAGTAAGTGAATCATCGCTTCTCTATAACACTGACAATGAATTTACCGTTAGCCCGCGATTTGAGTGACTGACATGTTGTTTCAGCTTTAAAGTGAAAGCCGAGTTTATTATATTTGAACCACAGATATGAGTTTCAAAGATCAGAACTCGATCTCCATGATGAAATATTCAAATTAGCCATGGTCAACGAACAATAACAACAACAATATCAACAAAAACATCTATTTGTGTAGCACTTTTCTTGCCAGGATTGCAAAGTACTTTCCATAGAGAACATCACAAATGTAGTGTTAAATATAAGCACTTAAATCTGTCATTAAAATACTGCCTGCAATATAAGCATTGTTTGTTTAAATGACAATACTTTAAATTTAAATTTGCAAATTGTGCCACTGGTTTGTTGCGTTCGACATACTATATGATCAATTCATTATGTGCTCATCTATACTGATCTGAGCTGTACAAGCAAACACGATACCATTTTACTCAACAATATAGCCACGTTGTTCCCCTGCGATCTGTCCTGCTCACATATACCATTTTCTTTCAGTTTCATCATGAATTGTTCTCTCCCAGGGGTCAGATACTGCGTCACATGTTGGCGCTAGCCAAGGTCTGACCTTGTGCTTGTTTTATTGTGGAATATTGAGTGCTTTGGGATTGAAGGGGAAGTTCTAAATGGATGTTTCAGAAACATGGCCAGTGCCCTTGTGCCTCAAACAATAATTCCCTAATGTATCAATGAATAATGGAGGATAATGGTTGTGGTTTTGTCTTAATGGGAGCACAGTGGGCTTTGTCCTCTCTGGAAGGCAGATACGCGAGTGAGGATTAAAGCTGTCTAAGTTCAGTTTTATTTAGTGGTTGAATACATTGGGCACAACTGAGAAAGCAAAGATTTATATAATGGGCAGTAGCATTTGTTGCTGTCAGTTATTTCAAGTGTAAACCATTAGCTCTTTGAACCATCAGAGAAACTCCTTCAGTTTAGCCAGCTAGCATAGCCAAGCAGCTCAGCCCAGGAGAAGTGCATTGTGGGCCTTCTGTGTGACTCCAGGCAACCCCTGGATGTTTGTAATGAGGCCCATTATTCATTCCATATGTTCAGTGTCTGCTGAGAGCCCCCATTGTAGTCCAACAATCGAGCTGTGAGGGGCGTTTAACCCCAGCGCTTCAGGAGGAGGGCGCCTTCTATTCTGTGACATCATGCACAGTACTAATACCTTGAACGAATCGCCTCTCACTCACTTCTCTGACTCCAGCATATCCACTGATTAAGAGGGTGTTGGCATGGACACATGATGCCTCATTGGAGAGGAATAAAAGCGTTTCCAGTGAGATTTAGTCATTTCTTCCATGCTTTGATTTTAAACGGCTTATGTAGATTAGCTGGTTTGAGTTATAACAGCACACGCAATAAAAGTTGTTTAATATGTTGTTGAAACACTGATTTGATGTAATGCCTCGTAAATATATTGCACCTCGTGAATATAATAGTTACAGCACTGATCAGAAGTGTGGCTTCTTAGATGTCGATATATCTAGTTATTTCTTCAGTTTTGTACTTTTGAGGCTACTTACGCCCAGTGGTGCTCTCCATCAAGACTACATGAATGTTTTGAGGAAATTATCTGTTTTATTTAATTTTCTGTCTCCTTGACGAATATGTCGACTATGTAGAGGTAACTTGTTACTGACGACGCAACATGTGTCCACTAGAGATCCATCTTGGGGCTTTTTGTCCCATGTGTTGTCGCGATGAAAGCTGCAGCAGCTACCAGCAGCCTCCACTAGACTTTCCATAGAGTTTCAGAAGTTGTCATAGTGCCGGTTAAGGAATGCTGCTTGTGGTCCCCAGTTCTTTGAAGAGGACATACTGGATAGCTTTTTTTTTTTTTTTAGCTTTTCATCAAAGCCTTCTTTGGCAGGTCTGCCGACATAATCTGGATTCTTGGCCTTAGTTGGTTGCCTAGTGAAACACAACCATAAACGCTGAAGGCTTGATGGTCTTAAATTTTCAAAAGCTTCCCCTAAAAGTTTTTTCCCAGTGTAACTTGAGATGGCGATATCAACTGGTACGATAAAAACGCACTACAGAGGAGCTAATGTCCGAGAAATGAGGATGCTTTCCCAACCAACCACAAAGCAGCCAGGTTACACTCTTAGGTGTTAACGTTTTATTGGAAGATTTGCCCTTTCCATAACTGATATTAGCCCTTCTCAAAGAAAAACAAGGACAGCAAGATGTTCTGGTATAATAGACTCTTTTCGTGGTTGGACACAACACATGGGTGGAACTACTATCATTAAAAGGACTCCATTACATTTAGGCATTCCAGTAATCCTTACCAGTTATTATCGATAATTAGTTAAACATGTGTAATTCACAACTTCTCATTTATGTAGTAAATTGTCTGTTGATGTCTGAAATCACAGTATTTTTGCTTTAATGTGTGCTGTATTTACTAACCTCCAGTATATTTGATGTGTGAAATTTTTGCAGTATATAGTGTATTTAAAAACTTAGCAAAATGAAACCATTTAACTGTCATTGATTGTATCTAAGTATCTGAAATCTCAATTTTAAACCCACTATGAAGGAAACAAGTTCATGTTTGTTATGAAGTAATGAATAAGTTCAGTAAATTAGTTGCCATAGTAATGTTCTGTGTAACAATAGAGCAGGAAAACAGTGCTGAGATGTTGTGTAGATATGCTTTTGCCTTGTATAGCAACGTTGGAGCCCATTAAATCAATTGTATTGATCTCGTCCACCTGTTTTCTTCTTTTAGGTTGTTTGATGTGTGTACAGTCTCTCGGACTGACCGAGAAACCAAACTCACGCTGGTCTTTGAGCATGTGGATCAGGACCTGACCACCTACCTGGAGAAGGCCCCTGACCCCGGAGTACCACCTGAGACCATCAAGGTAGTTATCGAGAATCACCCAGGAAGACAAATGCAGCAAATAACGATAGACCAGAGTCTATAATGGTCAGCATAAATGGCATTTGCGTGCTTGCCTATTAAAACATCCGTGAGGAACACATAAATAATATTTCCTGACGGATTTCATAACATGTAGGAACTTATTTGATATATTATTTTCAGTTTCTATTTGAAGCATGAAGGAAGCTGTTGGCTAATCCTCTGTGGCTTCAGCATTGGTTGAACACAGCCATGTCTCTATGGTTCTGTGTGAGTTTTCTTGGCTAGAGACGTAGAAGACAGAGAGCCGTTCCCTTCAACATCAGAGGTACCGGGGACGTTGAAGGGCAGCACATGTGGCAGATGGGCTCCAAATTAGAGGCTCTCGGCCTTCTCTATTTTCACTCTGCCCTCCAACTTTACACAGCGTTACAGATGGAGACAGAAAAGCAGTTTAAGAAAAATCTTCCCTTTTGTGTTTAAAAACCAAGACTGCTCTATTTGATCCCAACAATTGTACCTCACAGTAGATCAACTATTCTATTGAAAGTGCAGCACATTCTCACTCACTGCGACTATCAGTTTCTGTAGTTCATTAAATAAACCCACTGAGTGTCCACTTACACTTTGCCAAAAGGTCGGAAGTAGATGTGTCACCAGCTCCTTTCCTCTGTAACTGTCTCCTTTTTATTTTAAGCTTTCCCACACAAATCCCTTTTTGAGAATCTCTTCATCGTTTTTCACCCCAAGGTTTGTGGATGTACCGTGAACAATACTGGAAAGATATATTTCTATTTTTGGACAGAGGAAGCACAGAGTTTTGAAGTGTCAAATTTGAAATGGAGAAGTTCTGGCGCTACAGCAAACGTTGATTTTCACCCCAGGGCCGGGTTTATGTGTTCAAGAATTGTGTGGAGCTCTAATATTGGTGGGATGCTGTGCAAGCGTAGACGAGTCAGGTAGATCACACCTGAGGCTTTCCCAGGGCTTTAGCTGAAGCTGATACAGCGTGTGTGACACTGTAGTCTCTATGGATCGGTGTGACGATGATTGAGTATTGTGCTGCAGTGATAAAGCACATATTTACATGACAACTTAAAGCTTGACAACTTTCATGGCACCTGTGTAGTTATTTGCAGTTTTTAGAGCTGAAGCTGCCAAATTAATTCCTACAAGAAAAATCATTTGCAAGCAGTCGATTGTTTGTGGCACATTTGTCAGTGAGGCCTGTCACCATCGTTGCATAATCGTCACATCACAATGATTTGGGCTGACTGTGAACATTTCAGACAGTCACTACAAAAAAATGTAAACAAACAAAAGTAGATTTGTGTTTCTGCCCATCGACCTAACCTACTGCATCCATGGCAGCATTATACGCATTGTCACATTGACTTTTAACGTGACAACTTTCCAACACTTCAGTCTCATATTTATTACATTAAATCAGGTAATGTCATCGCCCCAAATTTATTTGCTGCAGACGTGTCAAGCACAGCACATGAAGAAGTCAGGATGTTCTCGTCACACAAATTAAAACCGATTAACCCTGTGATCACCTAAATCCACCAGTGGGTTTGAAAGGCATAGCATTGGTAAAAGCAGAAACAATTCATCATTCCTTGAACTACTCATCTGTGACGTGCTATTCAGTCAAACAACTAATAAAATTGAAGCTTAAAATTGCAATATTTCATCCAAATCGCTTTATTTTAGAGCCCGATTCTCCCTCAAAAACATAAAAATGCACTTCTCAATGCCAGTGATGTACTTACACCCTCTTCTTTTAGACTTTCAGGTAGCATTTTTCGCTTTTAATGGTTTTCATTTATCACATTCTTTGTTGAAGACGGTGTAATGCTGGTTTAGTCTCCATAAAACTGTTATTTATGTAGCCTTCAAATCTTAGATGATGAGACCCCTCTGTGTAATTTCCAGAACATGATATAGGGTCAATAGTTTGTACGCTGAGTTGTCTCCACTGTCAACGTTTAAGGGCAGGGTAAAAAATCTGGACACTTGTACTCAATTGTGCTATACATGAGAAGGGAAGGAAGTCATTTGTGTAGGAAATGAAAGGAAAGAACCGTTTCAATTTGAGCACCCGCCTACTTTCTAAACTCTGCACACCTGGCTCTTCAGCTAATGAAGTTACTTGTCGAATTGTGAGTTTTTGAAAATTATACAAACTGTCAGAGGTACACCGGACCCACACCCCCACAATTCCAACTTTGGAAAATTTTTAGGAAGGAGGATTTGGGTGCAGGTCAACAATCTGACAAGCTCTTCTTTTGAAGCATTGAGGCACACCTCCTGCCTTTGCTTTCTCCTAACATCCATACAGCTGGAGCCTCGAGGGGTCAAAAGGACATGGAGGAGTGACAATGCAACACAGGCACCATGCCCTGTTATTTCTAGGACAGTGGACACTGCACAGTAACCCGAAAGTGACCCCCTCCCCCCAAACAACTTTATCTTGCCTCGGCTATGCCAGATGACACCAGATTGTAGATCCCGGTTCGACAGTCTCACACCTGTGCCCATCTGATTAAAAGCTTATCTGAGTCACCCTTGAATACGTGAATGTGTTCGCCTTCATCCAAGAAAAAACATTTACCGTCAGCCAAAGGCCCTCAACCAAAAGGGACAGACATACTTTTCTTTAAAACCAATCTACCCCCAGCACCCGACACACCACCCCGACCCAGCCTGTCCACTTCAGCCCTCCCCACCCTCCACCACCCACTCAGACTCGAGACCCACCACATGGTCATTGATGAAAGAGGCCCTCCTCCAGGAATCAAATGAGCTGGAAGGACATCAAGCAGCCGGGCTGCCCCAGCCTCAGTGCTCCTCAGCCGGGCCAGCGCTTGGGTCTCACCCACCCTCCTCCTTCACCACCATCATCCAAGCTTCCACAACTCCATTCTGTGGGCCCATGAAGGGGGAGGTTAATGAAGCATGGGGAGGGAATTACACTAACGCTAACCGGCAGATGTCCCATATTGTGCCTAGCTACAATAAACAATATGGCTGCCTCTGGTACATTTGCATTAGAAAAGGAGGCGCACTCAGAAAGCCATGTTTTGACTGCTTCTTGCAGTGGGCTGACTACTTTTTTCGTGGTCCTCCTGTTTTTTCAGGGTCAGATCTGTTGCCTTTTTGTGTGATTTTTGTTTCCTCCTGGCCAAGTTGTTTGTGAGGCTTTTGGTTGAAGTGCTGCCAGTTGAAGACAGTTGTGTGCCGAGCAACTTTTCTGAGTCTGTTTGCCGCTGGAATAAACTTCTGAGTGAGCTGGATCACTTTTCCACAGTGCTTCACAAGTGGATTTAGAAGGAGTATCAATCTTGCTGTTTTCATGTGTGAACTTCATTTGCCCTCTTGGTCATGCTTAAAGTTATTTTGAGGTGCATATTAGAAATGATTTTTATTACTCAGGTGTGATTGTAATGGATACTGTAGAGAAGATGACACTCAGGCCAAGGAGGCCACAATTGTTTGTGTGTTTATCCAAGAGTCACACTTCTGAGATAATTAGTGTTTACTAGGAAATGCTGTTGAAAGGAAGCACGGTGAAATGGCTATTTAAAGCAGAGAGGAACTGATGGGTGGGGGGCAGCATGCTATTGTGTCAGCCCCCCTCCACACACACACACACACACACAAAATAACCAACTGCCTGCTCCGTCCTATGGCCCTGTCTGTCTGCTGCCCTTCTCGCTAGGTCATGGCTGGATGGAGATGTAGAAAGGAAGGTCTGTTTATGCATCCTGCCTGTCCTTGGTCAGAGGGCACCCACAGACATGTGCATGCTTGCACACAGTTACGCACCCTCACACAGGCAGAGATGCACACACACAAATGGGAATGTAGATATTACACCAACCCAGCGGGACACTCAGTTTGTTTGTGTATACAAACACACACGCACACATGCACACACACATCACTCCCCATCTCCACAGCATTGTGCAGGGTGCCCTGTCTCCTCCTCTATGGCCAGCACAGCAGCCAGCCCCACGCCGTTTGCTAATGTTTTCTGCTTGAGTGTGCAGACCCCTTTGACTCACTCACCAGCTGGTCGGCCAGTGAATAGAGCTGCGGGCTCAGGTCCATGTCACTTGTGAGGTCTGGGCGGAGGGTTTTGGGGTTGTTTTTAGGGGGGGTGTGTGTGTATAGGGAGGAGTATGTGTCTTGCAGAAAGGGGTGCACACTCGGATGCAGAACAACCAGCATCAAAGCGTTTCACTTTGTAAATGGTTCTTTCCCATTTCTTCCATTGTCTATTTTGCAGTATTTGCTGTTCTAACAGGTTGTGCAGACACACAAAATGATAAGTCAATATTAATTAATTTTTATGTGTTTTCAGGTCTTAAACCAAAGAAGCGCTCCCTAGACTTTGTTCAATCAAACAGCCCAAACCATAGCTCTGCCGAAACTACCAGGCCACAATCCTTTGTAATGACTTGTTATTTGTTTACAGGTGTGGGACCTGTTTGAGAGTATTTTAGCTTTGAAAAGAACAAGTCTAAGCTGGTTTTGACATAGTTTATTCCTGCTCACACCAGTTTACTTTTGCTGGATGCAGTGCCTGTGGCCATTTCTGAGGTCAGCTTTTGGGCATAAAAAGAGAGTGAGCGCCAATTAACTCAAGCAGGACAGCTGCTGAGTAACAGAGATCTGTGCTTGTACAAAGCAGGGGCCTCTTTCTGCCTCTGTCATTTGTGTGTGTATGTGTGTGTCAGTTATCAAACATCTGCCACAGTCGACAAGAAAAGACACAGGCCTCCTGTAGTTAACTCCCTCCATACCACAATGTCTCAGCTTTTATACTGAACTTCTCGCTGCGGGGTCTTGTCATTCAGGCCTTTTGTTGCCTGCTTTGACGGAGGAATAAATTCAGATTGTTGTAAAGGTGCAAGGTTATGAAGCCATCTGTCTTTTAAATTTTTCCTCAACTATTCAGGAAACCAAACTCATCAGGTCAGATTGAATTATTCAGTACAGCATGCGAAAATGTAATCGAATTTTAGCCGTCCCATTTGTGCTGCTTGGTCACACTCATATTAATCAGTGCCATTTTATAGTGACTTTAAACATTGAGTCGTATTCTAAAAAATAAGATGCTCCTTATTTCAACTTCACTGTGTTAACTTCCCCCGCTGTCTTGCTGCTCTTGTGTGTTTTGCTGCCTTACAGGATATGATGTACCAGCTGCTCCAGGGGCTGGACTTCCTGCACTCACACCGCGTGGTTCACCGTGACCTGAAGCCCCAAAACATCCTGGTCACCAGTGGGGGACAGATCAAGTTGGCCGACTTTGGTCTAGCTCGCATCTACAGCTTCCAGATGGCGCTCACCTCTGTGGTGAGTTATGTGGTTCATGTATCTGGACTCAGTAGGTCTCATCTAATAGTTTTCTTCAACAAAGTGACTCAAAACAAATAGTCCGAAACACAGTCAGCCCAAGGTTTCACAGCTGAGTGGGTCTGTGGGCCGACACTCCAGCATACTGAAGAGCAACCTAATGGCCGAGGTGTTGGGGCACATAAAGGCTGCGGATCTGTGGTTTAAATCTCAGATGAGAATAATTTTTGTTTATTTTGGAACAGATGTTTCATAGTGTTGTATTCCAAATCTTGATTCAGTCCAAATCAAGGAACGTTTAAAAGCGTTGTGCTTAAATGTATTCTTGTGTCGACTGCTTTAACGCATAACCACTATCAGCAGATAATACATAATTGCCTCTTGCTTTTACACAAGTAAGCTGTATAACTGACCTAGAAAGTGTACTCCCCAGTAGGATCTCTGTTTAAAGTAAGTGTGGAGACCTTACTCAAACACATGCCGACATTGTTATCAAGGCTTTTTGATAGATACACACACACACTGCCTTGAACTTCCCTCCCATCTCCAGAGAGTTAGATGAAAAGCCAAAAGCGTCTAATGTGTTGCAGCGGGCACTTACAGGGCATCAGCGAGTAGCTCGGCAGAACTACGCCAAATGATAGGATTTCTCTGTGTAAAGTGAGAGCCAAGGGCCCCCGTGGCCTGTCTCAGGAATCCCTCAGTGGCTGTCGCAGACAGGGATGGAACAGACAAGGAGAGACAGACAACCCTCCCTTCCCACTGTCGGTACTTTGATGTCCAACTGTTGAGCTCTGGGCTCTGATGACCAGATAATATAGAATGAGAGAGACTGAAAGGAGTCTTTAGAAGAGCTTGAAATAAGAAGAGATGAGACTTTTAAGATCAAGGTAGGCAGCAACAGTAGCTCAGTGCTATTTTATAGGCTTTTATTTGGAGGTTTGCTGACCTGCTTCACATGTATAGAGATGAGTGTAATCGTTAGTTTTAGCACATGTGCAACTCAGCTTTTCCGATCCCAACAGAGTCCTTTTGGATATTGTATGTCAAGTCTGATGTTCCTGGTGGAATTCCTTTTTTTAAATTTAAAAAAAAAAAATTCTTTTTTAATGAAAGACTGGACTTTAGCACAGGCCCAATGAAGTTCACATGATATGATTTCTGTTTGCTTCACTATGACAAGTAATAGCAGGGATATAATCAAACTGATAAAAGTGTAAATAGTGAAAGAAATGGGCATGAATAAGCTGGCATTACTACGCAGTACTATACAGTGAGATTCTCAGTTTTGACCACGAATACATTTATATAGTGAACCTGTAATGTTGCTCTCACAGTCTGCGGTTGAGGCAGCAGAATGAATGGTAGAGATGAAAAATGGGGTGAAAGGCCAGCAGCTCATGTTATGTCATGATGGAAAAGCTCATGGGAACTAAATCAGCTTCACCGAGTAGTGCAGCGTCTGTCCATCTAAAGTAAATATAAACATCCTCAGGGAAAGAATGCAAACTTTTATTCCGCTCTCAGCATCAGAATGGACACATATGACATGAGCAGCCCAACTAGCAGATACCAGCAGGTGCTTTTCCCTGCATCTCAGCTAAAACTGACGTACACTGTATATTTCATATAGAAAATACTTCCTTACAGGGCTCCAGACTGTGACCAAAATGGTCGCAACCTTTTTTTGAGAGTGCGCAAGTTGAAATTTCAAGTGGTTGCATTGGTGCGAGTGCGTGATGATCATTAAGCTGTATTAGTGTTGCTGTAAGTGGCACAGGCAGCTACTGTGTGGACCACAGTGTAGTAGAAAGTAATAGTTTTATAACTCGGGTGTACTGCGCAATTTATGCTTAAAAATGCAGTCACCTCGTGAAAAATGGAGTGCACCTGCATTGGCTGGTTTTTCCGCTCATTGAAAAGAGCGTGTGTTAAAAAAAAAAAAAAAAAAAAAGGTAAAAAAAATATTTTAGTTATTTTGGACAAATCTGACACTAGAACGCCCTAGTTAACTCTTTTTAAAGTCATTTTTGGTCGCACACCTGTCAGAGCACACCGCAGATACCAACAGCAGCTACCACAGCCTGCGATGTGAGGCGTTTAGGGAACATTGGTAAATTGTAGCATCTATCGATAAGAAAATGTTCAGCAAGTCATATGTTTCACCTGTGACAAGGTGGGAGGTGCGACCAAATGAGAAAGTTGGTCGCACTGGTGCTACCAGTGAAAAAGTTTGTCTGGAGCCCTGCTGTAGTTTAGGTATTGCCCTTTTCTGGTTCTAAATCAAAAACATGAAGCCGTTTAAAACATAATTTTTCCAAATTCACTAGATTCAAAATGAGGATATAAACACAATATTATAAAATAAATTGCCATTTAAAAATATACAAGTGACCCCTGTGCATGTATTTCTTTCTTATACCAATAAAAAACACGGGCATTGGACACATTTTACTGTATAGCTTCAATGAAACTTTAAAAGTTTTTTAAAAATCTTTTATCACATTAGATCAGAACTTTATTAATGTGGATAATTTAGCTAATAACAAGTTTGCTAAAAGGAAAAGTAGCATTCCACAAACTTGAATCAAAACTTCATTTTTATTTGATATATATTTATCATAAATCTGTAATTATTCATTCCTTTTGTAAGTGGGGAAAACATTACAGGCAACTAAAAAATTTCTTTTTTTTTTCCCTTCCAAACCATTTTTCTGTTTGACTAATGTGTGATTGTTGTCAAGAATGTAAACTATATTTCTCAGTATTATTATAAAGGGTAATGGTAATGATTAAGATAAGTATTTCTCTGGTAACTTTTTAAATGTATCATTCTGATTGATGATAATGTGCAGCCAACTTGCAGAGGAAGATAAACCAAACCATAGAATTTACATAGTGTTACACAATATTCAGTGTGTGTGTGGGTTCACTGGAGCATATGTCTCTAGGTTGACATTATGTTTCTTTTATGACTAGACGGGGGCCCTTTTTGTGAAGGGTAGAAGAGTTACCTTGGAATTCACCTTTAGATATTGGGTGACAGATACCAAGTCCCGAAAAACTACTCACGCACACAACATGCCACTTAATATGTGAATCTGTTTGCACACACACACACACACACACACACACACACACACTCATTTCCTTCCTCGGTTATACAGATTGGGCCACAAAAATGAGATGTGTGTGTGTGCGCGCGCATGTGCATGTCTTAGTGCATGCATGCGCTGAAGCAGAGAGCTGCAACGTGAGCACGGGATCTTCGGTTCCAGATGAATGTTCCTGTGTCTGGAATCCCCCTATCAGTCCAACACACAAACACACACACACACACACACACACAATCTCCATTCATCCATTCATTGTTTCCTCTTGCTAATAAAAGCACACAGTCTGCACTGTATGCAACACACATATACACAAATACACACACCGTTTAAGAGGATCTTCCCCTTTGCCCAACAAACCAGCAGTTACTTATTTAGTCACCTAATGCCACCGTTACTGGCAGACAGATGGGCTTTAGAGAACTGCTGTTGCTTAAGCGAACAAGACGATTTTCTCACTTTCAGAGTGATTCATTTAGCACTTCTAAAATGACAAGATGGCTGGAGTGAGCATTTGCATGAGGTTGTCACTTCAAGAGTCCCTCGCTTACTTTTTTTTCCAGTGTGTTGCTCACTGAAAGTAGCACTCTTGTACTTTCTGCTGATGATTTACCAGCATTACTTGAACTTCTGCTTTTGTGATGAATTTGCTTTATCACCTAGCAGCACACAGAACTGTTAATATGTTATTGACAGTACGGCGTGTGTTACAAAAAATGTGTGATGGAGTCTGTGTGCACGCATGACTGCGTAGAACTATAGACCCCATCGGTATCATTCACCGATCATGTCGCATATATTCACCCTTGTTGAGAGAGAGAAAGAAGGAGGGAGAGAGAGGGAGTGAGACCACCCATTGGGCTGGTACAGGGGTCCAGATTAGGCTGCCCCTGGCAGTCCCTGGGGGACCGTTGCTTTGTTGATGGTTTTTTAATGACCCCAGTCTGGCTACAAGCTCATTGTACTGCCTTGAGTGACAGGCAGATGGGAAAAGCTGATGGGTTAATCTGACATACCAGAAGAGAGTGCAGAGTTTTTTCTTCTTTCTGTCCGTTCCACTGAGATCCCATTTCTGCCAAAGCACTTTAGGGAAAACTATTTCTTTGGATGTTGTTTGAATTTGGAACAAATGCAGCAGCATTTTTTTTAAAACAACCCAAGAGTCTGCAGTGGTAGTGCTTGACTACTTAACATCCAACGACTGACTCACAGTTTCACAACAACCAGGGTTAAATTGTGTTTACCAATGTTTACAATCACCTAGTAAAGAATAATGTGATCACTTCCTGCTACTTTTGGTTTACTGCAATATCAATATGCAAATATTAACAGGAGAAAAGAAATATCAATGAGAAGACTTTTTTTAAAGGTATATTCTGTAATGTGTGTCCATGGCAGGGTGTCCAACCTTTTAGCTGGAGTTAGATTCTCAGGAGGTGGCAGGAGGGTTGACGGTAAATTCATAGGCAGCCGTTATGATTACATAACGTGTATGACTTAATTTTTACTAGTTATTTAATTTATAAGTAATTTGGATGAACTGACCCTTAAAATAGGCCAACAGAAGAGATTTTGCAGCAGTGTATTTAATGGGGACAATTCAGTAATACCCCTCAAAAAAATGAACCATAATCACCTTAATGTGCTGATTTTGTAGCCGCCAATATTTTGTAGTAGTTTAACACATGTTAAAAATGAATCTGTAATATTTATTTGCATAACTGTAACCTATAGTGTCATAAAATGTTTGTTTTGTTGTTACTAAGCTCTTTGTTGTCATATTTTGGTACCAGTTACTTTGGTAGCCACCGACAAATGAGAAGCCCAGCAACACCAGAAATAGTACTGACAACGCTGCACGAATGCAGCTTGATGAACCCGGAATAT